GAAGCTTTTCTTCGAACTTCCGGCCATTCAAAATATTAATAATATATACATATTTCCCGTGTTGAGGCATAGTGTTTCTGCAGCCGCGCAGATCAACGTGTAGATAAGTACACAAGCTCTTGCATAGGTGGCATGCATATTTGGAATATTGTGCTATGCGTTTCACGTAGTACATTTCTGGAGGATGGTTGAGGCTAAAGCCTAGTTCTGCAAATATGCGTGTTTATTTATTTGGGCCCACCCTGGAATAGCTCATCGAGAAATTCTTACCATGTGAATATAGTGAATATGACAGTTAAATCAAAACAACTGAAGCGTCCGCTTCCAAATGTTGTCCCATTGTCATATATCCAGTGTTATTGGTAGTTTATTTCACATGTAGCAGCTGTATCTGACTAGGAAGAATCTAGGTTGCTAATATCATACCATAGGAGTTTTTGATTCGATTGCTTGATGCCTATAAACAACTAGGAAAGATATGGATCTGCACACTGATATAACAGCATGACGAACTGGTGAATGTCTGTACTGAAGAGCACCGATTACTCAATCTCCGTCGTTCTAATCGAAACCAATGAGCATAAATCTCATTTATATTCATCAGTACTTGCTGTTAAAAGATTGAGGTTTATGGTAGACAAGAAGCGCTTTCATAACTGTGCTACTCGCTGAGCGTCATCGGATGCTTGTCGTCAAATAATACTAACGTATATTGCTACGCATGCTGAGAAATCCTGTCCACAAAAGTTCAGGGGTATTTATATTTAATACATGCTCAAGCATGCATAGATGTCAATGGTAGGGATTTCTGCGTGGGATGCAATGGGTACGTTCTTCCTACTAATACACAGGCGTCCTGAAATCTTTTGCTCTTGTGCAGATCGGGAATATCAAGAAGGCAGATGTTCCATAGAAGCGTAAGGTACATGAAAGCTGTTGAGGCAATTGGATCCATCAACCAAAATCAGACGAGTAATACACAATTATACTTAATAATTTAGGGTTCCATATCTCATGTTATTTGTGAGTAGCAGAAACATGATGCTTCGTGCAAATTTACTCGAGGCAAAGAGATATTTCGGATTTATTCATCAATGTATTTGCATATGAATTTTTAAGGCGTTGGGTTCGTTAGCCATGTAGTTTAATAGATTAGGCCCAAAAGCGGAGAAGTTGGGGCCAAGTGAGGTGCCTACAAATTCTCAGGCATACATATCAGACACCTGCTCAAGCAATAGGTTTTGTGTGCTACGAAATTGTAGTCATTATTGGTGAGCGCCGTGCCTTATTTACAGCGTCCCAATATAAAGGTGGGGATTTCTGCCTTGCGTGGTCTGGCAACAGAAGAAGCATATACGGGATGGTAAAAGTAAATAAACAAAAGTTTGCCCAATGCCATACCAGACAAACTCATTATTGCATAATCAACAACGTGTGGTCACGTGCAAGTACCGAATATGAGGAATTCGGAATGCTTAGAGATACCTACGTGCTTTCTGTTCTAGGGCTAGAAAGTAAAGGAAAGGCACCGCACAAAACATCGAATGGTCTAGGGACTAGATAATAGGTGATATCAGTAAATAATAGGGGTCACTCAATATTTGATACGCTAATATGAGATCGCCGCGCAGCCTAAGATAGCGCCCGCTGAAAATTTCCAGCATCTTCAGTCTTCGGTGGTAAGAGTGATAGTTTGGGCCCTTTCCATTCTTTGTTGCTCTTCGTTGTGTTGCCTCTATTGCTTCCAGGTCACGCTTCAACCAAGGTTGTCAAGCTTGGATAGTGTATTCAACAAGCGTGCGCACGTAGGAATTGTGCATCAATGGGAGGATTGATGGATCAAATCTCGTGAATGCTCTTCGCAGCATGCCGACATGCTGGTTGCCTCTTTTCGCAGCTACTTCAGCCTGTTTTGAACAGTAGAAGTCACTCGTACCATCACACCCAGGTCACGTTCCTGGGAGCTATTCTGCAATCCGTTGGTCCCAAGTGAATAGGTGTAGTTATGTCAATGGCGTAAT